CTTCCGAATGCAGCTCTCCATCTCAGACAGGGGGCAGGGGCTCTGGCTTGGGGGGGGGGGTCCTCTTCTCCGCAGCTTCAAGGATCTTTGCTAACTGCGGGAAATGGGGGCGGGGGGGGGGGGGGGGGGGGGAACCAGGATCCAGTCTTATTCCTTCCCCGCTCCCACTTTCTCAGAAAGTAATTGGAACAAAATTCAGTGAGTGGAATGGGATGAAGTCAGCCGAATGAGACAAGCATTTATGAAGACTTTCTTAGTCCCCATTCCTCTCCCCCCCTCTCTCCCTCCCTCCCTCCCTCCTCCCCCCTCTCTGTCTAATGAGAATGTGAATTTCAAAAAGCAGGGAAAATTCAGAAAGGTGATTCTTGGAATGAAATTCAAAGCAAGTCACAGGTTCACCTTCGGTCCTTGACCAAGCCAAGAACAGAGATCTCCTAAGAGGTACCCTGGCTAAGCACCTATCACCACTCCCCAAAATGCATCTCAGGCTTGGGGGAAAAAAATTGTCCATACCCTTCTCTGAAATGAGAAGCAGGAGGAAACGGGGTGTGCAATCCTTCGTGCAATCCCAACCCTCACCCACAAACTTGTAAATGCAGGGGGGCCAGCATTCCATTTCGTGTTTTGTCTTGCGACAAACAGCTGCCAAGGAAGCTCTGACTGATCTTCTTGGGTTGCACAGCAAGAGGGCAGAGTTTGGGCGTTGTAGGAGTTAGAAAGCGCCGTTTTCTTTTCATCCTTCCCGAAACAAAAAAGACGAGTAAAAAAAAAAACCCTCTGACCTCAAAAATTGGAAAACTTTCAGGTCAGCTGATTTAGTAGACACTTTATTCCTACTCTATAAACCAGAAGATAAAATTGCTATTCATTTTGCCTAGATAGGAGCATCTCTAGGACGTGACTCTGCAGAATATTAAACGCGAGTCCACTTTTAAGTTCAGGTCATGTAGAACCATGCAGATGGTCACAACTTCACTCTTTCCCACGTGCGTCAAAAGGGACGACTCGGGAGTAAGGCCTGGAGATGATTGGCTCCTCCCATAAGGCTTTAAAAGGAAAAGAAAACAAATAAAAGAGGAGCAAAGGTACGTGGGCCCTTTGCAGGAAAGCAACGTTGTTAATTCTGTTCCCAGTCGGCATCTCCGTTTGATTCTGGACTCCGTTTGGCTTTGCCAAGTAGGTCTTTGGCAGCGTGTCAAGGGAGATAAAGGTTGGTGATTATCCCAAAGGACTTTTTGCAACTAATTGGAACTCGGCTGTGAATGAACGTAATTCACAGCTGTTGCAATAGAAGAGGTTTTTGGGACTACTCGTGTGTTTTAATGACTCAGGGAGCCTAGGTCATTAACATTGCTCCTGTTTTGTCTGGAGTGAGTGTCAGTTGCTTAGTCCTCTTCCAGATGGTTAACCAGGCCCTGGAGTCACCTTGAATTGCTTCCCCGAAGAGTAGCAAGAGAAAGGAGTTCACCATAACTTAGGAAGAAGGATGCCCTTGTGCCTTGACTATCTTCCTACCCACTTTTGATCCATTGTCCCAGGTTTGGTGGCCAAAGGGGGGAAAGTAAAACTGCTCCTCATCTTACACAACCTGAGCCACTGAAGTGTGAAGGCCTCAGCTAGGCCATCAGGTTCAGCCACGGACTGATTTGTTCGGAGACCACAAAGTTTGTTATGGCTCGAGGAAAGCTCCTTCCTTCTTTCCTCCACTTGGCAGTCTCTAGACGCCGAGAGTCTTTGATTTCCTGGAAAACCAATTACTGAACAGCAGATTAGAGCACTAATAAAGTCCCATTATACCATTTTCAGAAAATAAATCTGGATCGGATGCTGCCAGTTTATCTTTGATGGCTCACAATGCAGACCTCCCTTCTGCCAGGCATCCTGCGAGCCGTCGGGGATGGATGGGGCAAAGGCAGGGAGGTGGGGAAGAATACCAAAGGCTAGCAAGATAATTAGATGGGGCACAGAAAATCAGTCTTGAAAGTTTCTCTGTGCCCCAGTTTAGGATGAATAATTTGACGAGCCGTTCCCTTTATTTGTTTTATTGAATTGATTAGCACCTCCCAAGAAGGTAGGAAGGTCAGCTCAGCTCTGAAGCAGGATCTGACCAAGGGCTCCTCTCCACCTCCTTTCCTCACTTGGAGGTCAACAAGAGGCATTCAGGGATTTCCAAGCAAGGGTCAAAGGCCACTGACCTGCTCCCCAGCCACAAGACATTGCCTTTTGATGGGCAATAAGCCCCATAAAATCTCCCCACGTCCCGTTGCCTTTATGAGTTGGGTCCTCCGCGAATTTTCCCAGGCTCCTTTTCAACTTTAAACTCTTCGATGGGTGGCTCTCACCCTAACCGTTGACTCTGGTTGTGCAAAAGCTTCATCACGGCCGGCCAGCTGTGATTCCACTGCCCGCTGCATTTTCTTTTATTTATTATCAACATTCGATAACAGCCCCCCCCCTCTTTCCCAGCCATTTCTACTTTGCCGGGAGGAGGCTTTCTATCCGCTAACAGAGTCAGGTAATCAAATTAGCACTGCTTTTACACTCACTTTCTCTGCAACGTGACAACTGGCAGTTAAGGGCCAAGTCCATCAGTACCAAGCACTAATTTCTTAACTCCCTTAAGTGACTCTGTGCTGCTCTGGGATGCAGCTGGGCCCAGATGGAGATGGATGAGGTGAGGTGAGCACCCTCCTGTGCCCCCTCCCTTCTGGCCTGCTGCTGGAAGATGGGGATTCTCTCCTTCCACGTACCAACAACACTCCTCCCTCTCTATATATACCTATTATCTGCCTATGTGTAGGAGCACAGTGGCTCATGAAGTTAGAATGCTGGGCTGACGGTCGGCAGCCTCATGTTCAAGACCTGTTGCTGCTGTGGGGTGGGATGAGCTCCTGACAAATGTTCCAGCTCCGAGCAACTCTGTGGTTCAAAAGTGGGTGAACACAAGTACATAAATGGGGACCATTTCACAGGGACATGAAAGGAGGCCCCAACTGGGTGGTCCCCCAGGCAATGGTGATGTCACCAGCAAATCCTTTCACCATGGAAGCACTCCAGTGCTTCTGACCCTGAAGTATTAGTATTACCTGTCTCTATCTGTCTTTCTCTGTATAGCTCTATCTCAGTCAACTATCTATCTATCTATCTATCTATCTATCTATCCATCATCTATCTATCATCTATCTATCTATCTATCTATCTATCTATCTATCTATCTATCATCTATCTATCTATCTATCTATCTATCTATCTATCTAGCTAGCTAGCTAGCTAGCTATCCTTTTCCCTGAAAATAAGACCCAACCGGAAAATAAGTCCCAGCATGATTTTTCAGGATGCTTGTAATATAAGCCCTACCCCCAAAATAAGTCCCAGTTAAGATTGTCAGTCAGATGGGTGCATTTAGTACTGTATTTCCCTCAAAATAAGACCTAACCAGAAAATAAGCCCTAATGTGTACCAGAAACATGGTATCTATCTATCTATCTATCTATCTATCTATCTATCTATCTATCTATCTCTATCTGTCATCTCTATCTATCTATCTATCTATCTATCTATCTATCTATCTATCTCTATCTGTCATCTCTATCTATCTATCTATCTATCTATCTCTGTCATCTACCTACCTACGTACCTGCCTATCAGGGATTAACAAGAGGATAAACCTCACCTTGGGTGCTGGTGCTTCCTTCCCTCAGTCTAATTTCCAAGATTGTCCCATTGAAGCTGGGGATTTCTGCCCAATCCTCATCTCTTACCCAGATTTTCACATTGGAGGCAGAAATTGGCCACTTCAGGGGGCGGTGGACTTGGTGACACAAGGGCAGAGCTTGGGTCCACGGGGTTATGGTTGGGTCCACAGTCTTGGCTTTTTTGACTCCTCCCTGGGGATGCCACTGTGGGCTGCCCTGAAGAGCTAAGACCCGAAGTGGACAGGCCAGTGTGGGGGATGCTGTGAGATCCAGATTCAAGTCTGTGCTCAGTCACAGAAGTTCACTGCTGAATCGGGGTCAACCTTCTCTCTCTGACCCACCCGCCTCTCAGGTCTTTTCTTGGCTGGGTATAATCAGAAGGGACCTTGAGAGAAACTCCCCAGAGCTCTTGTGGGAAGGAGAGAAGAAAACAGGTGGATAGAACAGCATTGTTGTTGCTCTCCTCCTCATACAAAAGATCAAAGGGTCAAGAAGAACTGGTTGAAAGGGTAGCACATCCCTTCCTTCTAGCCCCGGGATGGCGAATCTATGGCAGACGTGTCACAGGTAGCACACAGTGCCCTTTCTGTGGGCACACGAGCCGTCACCCCAGTTCAGCTCTGCCATCCATGCGCACATGCCTCCTGCCGGCCAGCTGGTCATCGGGTCTCTGCTGTGCATGTGAGGGGTGTGGGGTGCATGTGGAGGTGCTGCGAGTGTATGCACCGGGGTGTGTGTGGGGTGTGCAAGGATGCCACGTGTGCATGCACAAGGGGTGGGGCGCATGCACAGGGCCGCGCACACGTTGCATTTGGGGGGTTCATGCCCACGCTTTGGACACTCAGCTTGGAAAAAGTTAGCCATCACTGCTCTAGCCCCTCTTCATGGCTTCCAGATGACAGACCCATGGAGCGTGAATTAGCCCAGCCAGAGGCCCCCAATGCTAGTTGTGGGAGGCGGGGGTCTCTTTCAGGCTGACAGCCACTTCCTGCACCCATCATGGGTCCACCAGAGATCTCAACTCTTCCCTCATTAGAATTCTTGAGGTGTGAAGCCGAGGGCAGCCCTGCCAGGGATGGCGCCAATATTATCTGCTCGTGATCACCATCCTTGAGAGGTTCAGGAGAGACCCTGGCTGAAACGCCTCCCCACCCCACCCCAGCAATTTGTCAAGACAACCTCAAGCAGGATTCGTGCAACGCATCTCCTCTCTCGGCTTGTCACATGGCGTGGATCTGCCCCCGGGGGCCGTCTCCACAAGAGGCAGCAGCCAAGAGGATCCATCCGTGATCAGCTTGCATGACATCAGCCGGGGGAGGGCAGGCAGGGAGTGAGTCTCTTCGAATCTTCTCTGCCTGAAACTTGAGGCAGTGGAGAGGGACTGATGGGCATATCAATTATGCATTTTTTAAAAATCCAACAGATAGGGGAAAACGAGAAAGGAAGAGAGCCGAGCACTCACAGCTTCCTTAATTACATTTAATTTCTCTGCGGAGGCAAAAAGCAGAGGAAGGGGGTGGGAGCGAATTGCAAGCTGCTGTCCACGAGCTGAAGAAGGAAGAGGAGTTAAGCTCTTTCCACCCTCTTGGAAGCATCCATGGCTCGTTCTGCCCTGGGAGTCTCCTTGCTCCTGCTTGCCGTGGCTTCCACGGTGCACTGCAAAGGTAAGAAACTCAAGCAAAAGTTAAGTGGGATGGGTTGCCTGCCTTGTGCCTTGGGTCAAAAGTGTGGAGGGATTTGCAAGAGTGGGGTCGGCGTAGAGAGATGGCCAGTGTCTTCCAACTCGACCACACACCTGTGCTTCGGAAGTTGAGGGATGTTTTTTTTTTTTTTTAATTTGATTTATATGCCGCCCTTCTCCGGAGACTCAGGGCGGCTTACAATGCGTTAAGCAATAGCCTTCATACTTTTGTATATTTATACAAAGTCATCTTATTGCCCCCACAAACTGGGTCCTCATTTAACCTACCTTAGAAAGGATGGAAGGCTGAGTCAACCTTGAGCCTTGGAGAGATTTGAACCTGCAGTAAATTGCAGGCAGCTGTGTTAATAACAGGGTGCTTTAAACCACTGTAGTACCAAGGCTCTGTTGTTGAAAAGAACGAGGGTGAACAGCCCTTGATGCTGGTGGGAAAATGGATGGGTCGAGGGTTTTGGAGTTTGTGTCAATTATTCTTCGTCATGGAAAAAAAAAAGTGGCAACGATGAGGAAAATAAGTATAAATCTTGTTATCCGGGATGGGTGTGGAAATGCTCGCTCCCAAATTCAGAGATATGACTCTGTCTAAAGAATGAGGAAGAAGGGTTAGACATATTAAGGAAGGGTGGATTGGAGCAGAGATTCACCCTGATGTCTCCATGTTCAGAGGTGTTCTACTTCCGAAGAAAAGATGCAGGGGACAAGTGAGGAGATGGGACTTGCTCTCCTGCCCAGGGATAGGGAGCCATTTTTTATCCAGGCTTGGAAACAAGATGGTCTATAGACTTTTTGTTCAAACACTCTTGTAGATTCCTCAGAAGCAAGACTCTTTCACGGAAGCTCCTGGTAGATCTGAAGAACATTCCCAAACATAATTCTTTAGTGGTTGCAAAAGTTAAGCCTAGATTCCTCGTTGCTGCAAGAGGAACTCACTGTCGGGTCCTTGGTGCTCTCTGTGCTTGGCTGCTGTTTTCTTGCAGATCTTTAATCACCAAACTAAGTAACATCATCAGTGCTTTTTTTCAAGAGGCAAATGGACTTTCTGGTTTTTCTTTGAAGGCATTTCACTTCTCATCCAAGAAGCTTCTTCAGCTCTGACTGGATGGAGGGGAATGGACGGATATATACTCCTTGCAGACAGCTTGGTCATTTGCATTTTTTAAATCCTTCCATTCCCCACTATCCAGTCAGAGCTGAAGAAGCTTCTTGGATGAGAAGCAAAACGTCTTCAAAGAAAAACCAGAAAGTCCAGTTTTGCCTCTTGAAAAAAGCACCTTTGGGACAACCAGGACCTGGAGACTGAGAATCTCCATAGACCATCAAAAGAAGCAGAGCGTTATTTGAGTTCAGCCAATTCACGTTTCATAAGCTGCAAACTTCCGTCTGCATCATCAGTGCTACAGAACTCAAATTTAGCGTCCTGTTAATTGTCTTCTCCGTTGCAAGCAATCTTTTGCACCTTTAGGAAGTTCTACACTGGTTGGAAACCATGCACCAATAAATAATGACACAATTTGTGAAGCTAAAGTCTGAGTCTAGTCTGGGACTCAGGAAAACAATCCTAAATTCCTTGTTGCTTGGAATGGTGGAGGCTGAATCACTGGCTGACACCAAGAGCAGAGGGAACAGATGACTGCGTAGCTGTTCAAACTTCCTGTTTCCGTAGGCACCATGCGCTGGTGCTCCTAATGTTAATCTGTTAATTAAGAGCTTTTCATCTTGCTAAACCACAAGAATCGTGAGGAGCTGGAAAATACTAACAATTAGTGGGCCACTGGGCTTACTTGGTTGCCATCCTAAGACACATTTTGAGGCACACAAATACATCCCGTATGTTTTTCTTTCTTTTGTGCAGAATGATCTTCCAGACTGGCAACAGTTTTCTACCCTGTTTCCCCGAAAATAAGACCTCCCGTGATAATAAGCCCAATCGGGCTTTTGAGTGTATGCACTAAAATAAGCTTCCCCCCAAAAATAAGCCCTCCTTGAAAATATTTAAATGCACGGCTGGAAATCAGGTAAGATGGCAAGAGGAGCCCCATCTTGCTCCATGCACCCCAAAATAATAAGACTTCCCTGAAAATAAGGCCAAGTGCTTATTTTGGGGTTCAAAGAAATATAAGACAGGGTCTTATTTTCGGGAAAACACGGGTATGTTCTCAGGGATCCAGGCATTATTCACACATGTCACCTGTTAATCTTTTATCATTGTGTTTAGGACTTCCTAAATCTCCCCATCACCAAGTGTCAATAGTCAACTCTAAAGCCGAGAGATGTTTGATGGCACACCAAACATTGATTTGATGGCACACCAAACATTCTGGAATCAGGACTGCTCCGTTCTACCCATGAAGCCATGTTTCTTGGGAACGGAGTGAAATGGAAAACCGTGTCTTCCCATTTGTCCCATTCCTCACAATGTGATCTCATCCTGTTGCATATGAAAACAATGGCAGTGCGGAGGGAGGAGTCAAGATGGCAACACACAAGCAGCTTCAGAGACAAGCTCCCGGATTGCAACAGGTCTTCTTGCCGCTTCTTGGCTTAACCCAACGTCCCCCGAATGCCACCCAAGGGCAAGAAAAGAAACCGGGCCAGCCCCAGAACCCATACATCTTATCATGGGGCCCAACTGCTGCCACACAACCTGCCTCTTTGCCTTTTCCAGGGGGCAAGGGACTTGGTTTCCCAGGCATTATTTATTTTATTTATTTATTTATTTTAATTTGATTTATATGCCGCCCTTCTCCGGAGACTCAGGGCGGTTTACAATGAGTTAAGCAATAGCCTTCATTCTTTTGTATATTTTATACAAAGTCAGCTTATTGCCCCCACAAACTGGGTCCTCAATTTACCCACCTTAGAAAGGATGGAAGGCTGAGTCAACCTTGAGCCTGGCGAGATTCGAACCTGCAGTAATTGCAGGCAGCTGGTGTTAATAACAGGGTGCTTTAGACCACTGTACTAGCAAGGATTATAAAGATCTAACTAAGGCTGGGATTCTTTATGGATCCCACTTCAGCAAAAATATGGGGGCAGAAGAGATGGTAACTGTCCTCTTCAAAAGGAGCTAAGCAATGGAGGCAGAGACACCCCTCACACACACACACACCCCTCAATCCTTCCAAAGATCAAAGCCTTCTTCCTGAGAAGGGGATCTTTGGCACTCTACCTGTAGACTCCAAGACAAGGTCACACGGGTTGACTCAAGATCTTCCTGAATTGATGAAACATATTTATTTGAGACGTCTACCTGGACCGTAGCCCATAAAGCTATCCCTTTTCCTTTATAATAATGGGGGTGGGATGGGGTGGGGTGAGGGGGTTGAAGGCATCCAAGAGCTGATCTTGGAGCCCGAATTGGCCACCTGTCATTTGTGTTTTCAAGAGTCACCGAGACAATAACAAAGGCAGATCCTGCTGCACAGTTAGGGAGGGTGTCTGCTTGCTGCCGAATCCCCCCTAATTTGTTTTCCTGCTTCTCTTCTGCCCTCTCTGTTGTCTCGCCATCCAGCTGGCCAGATGTGCTCGTGCACAAAACGAACTCGGAGGCATTAGGGATTGTGTGAAAAGGCAGAGGGGCCTGCTTGAAAAGCCGCCTCTGAGCCTGCTTCCCCCAAGCCCTGGCAAATCTATTCCAATTAGGAGCTGCTTGGAAGGTGCGAATTGTGCCCAAGTGGTAGAAAGTCATGTACAAGAAGAGGCTTTGCAGAGAGCAGCTTCAGTGTTTGTCTCGCTTTTTCTCATCACGAGTTGCCTTGCAGGGAGGAGGGTTGTCTCCGAAGCCACTGTTTTGCTGCTAGAGCCAGAAAAAAAAAATGTTTCTGGAAACTTGGAAGGCATCACAAGATTAGCCAAATACGGCATTTCAACAGGTTGCCCCATCAGCTGGCCGCCTAATCAAATCCTTCTGGGTCGAAAACATTATCTTGAGATAAATTGCGCAGAGTTCGTGGTTCTTTATGATTGTTTACCCCCATCTTCATCAAAGCATGTATAAGAAAGTCTGCAGAAATTTATTTATTTATTTATTTATTTATTTATTTATTCATTCATTCATTCATTCATTCATTCATTCATTCATTCATTCATTCATTCATTCATTTATTTATTTATTTATTTATTTATTTATTTATTTATTTATTTATTTATTTATTTATTTATTTATTTATTTATTTATTGGCTCGATTGATATGCCGCCCTTCTCCAGAGACTCAGGGTGGCTTACAATGCGTTAAGCAATAGCCTTCATACTTTTTGTATATACCTGCTTAGTAGGGCTTTTGCCCCCCCCCCAAGCGGTGTTCTTTTTTTATACAAAGTCAGCTTATTGCCCCCACAATCTGGGTCCTCATTTTACCTACCTCGAAAGGATGGAAGGCTGAGTCAACCTTGAGCCTGGTGAGGTTTGAACTCGCAGTAATTGCAGGCAGCTGGTGATAGTTAACAGCACTTTAGTCTGCTGCACCACCAAGGCTCCTTAGTGGTGCAGAAATGCCCTGGACTTTGGCAGAAGACGTTCAGACTAAATGCCAATAAATGAGCAAATTGGTTCCTGGTAGCCTTGGTGAAAGGATATTGTTAGTGTCATAGCTTGAGTTATACTGTAGCATGGATGGAAAGCAGAGCAGACTGGACTGAGAATGGGTGGGGTGGGGGATATGGGACCTGGTCTTGAGAAAGGGCAAGGCATGAGTCAGCCATGATGGGGGTACTTGCGGAAAAGATTATTTGTCCCTGAGAAAGAAGAAAAGGGGTGTGAGTCAGAAAGAAACTCAAAATAACCCCACCCAATTTTGGGGGTGTGAGTTGGGACAGAGACGGGGTGAAATCCAGCAGGTTCTGACAGGTTCTGGAGAACCAGTAGTGGAAATTTTGAGTAGTTCAGAGAACCGGCAAATACAACCTCTGGCTGGTCCCAGAGTGGGGTGGGAATGGGGAGATTTTGCAATATCCTTCCCCCAGGAGTGGGGAGGGAATGGGGATTTTGTAGTATCCTTCCCCTGCCACACCCACCAAGCCACACCATGCCCATCAAGCCATGCCCACAGAACTGGTAGTAAAAAAATTTGGATTTCACCACTGGACAGAGAGGAAGCTTTCAAGATTTCTGGAAGGTCAACCATTTCTGATTCTCGATGTGGCCTGTAGTGAAATCCAATTTTTTTTACTACCAGTTCTGTGGGCGTGGCTTGGTGGGCGTGGCAGGGGAAAGATACTGCAAAATCCCCATTCCCACCCTACTCCTGGGGGAAGGATACTGCAAAATCCCCATTCCCACCCCACTCTGGGGCCAGCCAGAAGTGGTATTTGCCCGTTCTCCGAACTACTCAAAATTTCCACTACCGGTTCTCCAGAACCTGTCAGAACCTGCTGGATTTTGCCCCTGGGCCTACCTTGTTGGAAACCAGCAAAAGGCTCCCTGTTCAGGTAGCAGCCAAACAGGAACTGAGACAATGAAGAAGGACCTGCAAAATACACCTAGGAAGGTTGTGGTGCTGCACAGCAGTGCATAATGTTAACAGAAAAGAAATGTTTAAGAAAAGATCCAGAATTAAATGCTGGAGGTGGAGGAGAGAAGGAGACCAAGAGCGCAGAAGGTTTTCAAGGATGGAAGAAAGCTCCTGTCATGCTATGAATAAGAGCTAGAAGGCCCCAGAGGGAAGGCTAGGTGGGAAAGATGGAAAAATAACTCTGAATAAAAATAAATCAGCAGCACCTACAATGGCATGCTTTGGTTTGGTTTACAGTTTCCCAGAAAATACCCAACAAAGCATCCAGCTCAAGCAAGGCTGCCCTGCGCCAGCTCTCCGATTATTTATTTGCCAATTACAAGAAGGATGTCAGGCCGGTCTGGAACTGGAGGAAGACAACCAACGTGGCCATCGACGTCATGATTTATGCTATTCTGAGCGTGGTAGGACCCCTCTCCTTCCTCAGGAAACCCCCCCTTTTTTTGCTTCCTTGGATACATGGGTGGGGAGCAGGTCATACCCCCCCCAATCAGGGTTTAGTTCTAAAGGGCCCCTCCGAAAACTTCTGCACCTTGTTTTTATTATAATGCACCGAAACTTTTTAAAAAAATGGACAATACAAATGTTTGGAATTGTAGGCATTCAAAGACCGAAAGCATCTAAAGATGTTGCCTCTGGTTCTTGTACATCCTCGGCTGCTGTGAAGCTGAAATTCAGAAACTGGCCTCATAAACGGAATCATTCTTTAGACTCAGGGCCACTTCCTCTAACTGACAGCTGCTCAGAAAACTCTCCGGTTGAGGTTTTCCTTCTTCCAAAGAACCTGCTAGTTAGAAGTGCCAAGGACATGCTTTAAGATGGCCTTCTAGATACTTCTGCTTTTCCCAATTTGGCTAATCTGGTTATACAGCATCTACAGTGCTCCTAATGTTGGGCAATAAAACTGCACAGTCATGATTAGTAGAGAGGTGGCAGATAGATAGATAGATAGATAGATAGATAGATAGATAGATAGATAGATAGATAGATAGATACCATAGATAGATAGATGATAGATCGATAGATCGATAGATCGATAGATCGATAGATAGATAGATAGATCAATAGATAGATAAATACCATAAATAGATAGATAGATAGATAGATAGATAGATAGATAGATAGATGATAGATAGATCAATAGATAGATAAATACCATAAATAGATAGATAGATAGATAGATAGATCGATCGATCGATAGATAGATAGATAGATACCATAGATAGATAGATGATAGATAGATAGATAGATAGATAGATAGATAGATAGATAGATAGATAGATAGATAGATAGATAGATAAGATACGATAGATACGATAGATGGAGGGATGGATAGGCAGACAAACCTTTAGATAAAGCCAACTCTCCAGGCTTGAGTCATGGGGAAAGTGGCAAAACCTGTCTCCCTCCCTCCTTCCCAATCTTGGCTTATTTTACAACCAGATCTAGGGCTGAGCCATCCTCTCCAGTCCTTCAGCCTCAACTTTGCTTTTCTGCTTTCCACAGGATGAAAAAAACCAAGTTCTGACCACCTATATTTGGTACAGGCAGGTAAGGAGGCCGACTTCTCTCTGGACATTTAACTTTATCTCCTTCCTTGTTGGTTCTCCTTCCCTCCTCATACTAAGCGTGGTTGGTTTAATCGTGGATTGTTAACCTAACATTGTTCGAATGGGTCAGCATCTACTTGTGAGGGTAAACACGGTATCTGCCACCATTTCTCATCCAACGTGCAGCACTGGATCGATGAATTCCTGAAATGGAATCCGCAGGACTTCGACAACATCACCCAGATGTCCGTCCCCACCGAAGCCATCTGGATCCCAGATATCCTGATCAACGAATTGTAAGTCTGCAAAAACCTTCTTGGGCTCCCCTCCCCTGCCAAAGGTGTGGGTCAGGACAGGTTAGGGGGTTTGGCTGGCCCCCCCCTTTCCCCTCCCTGGCGCTGCGCTGCGCTTAGTATTCCCAGCCATGTTTTTACTTGGCTCGTAACCGGCTCCATCTTCTGTGTACTGTACATTGCAGATGGAGAGAAGGCTGTGGAATTGGGATGGCTCCAGGAATGGAAAACTATAAACAGCCATAATTACCCTTCTCGGGCTGGGCGTTCCGAGGAAGTCTTTGTGGAGACAATGGAGGGGCAGCTGCGGAGCTGCCAAACTCCTCTGGAAAGAGTCCGAGAAGGCATCTCTGGTGCCAACGGGCATTTTATTCCTGCTATTGCCAGACCTTTGCAAGGAGGGCTAGATGGGTCCTTTGGGGAGGAGAGCTCCTTCTCCCTCCCCCCAACTTCCCAGAGCAATTTATTAATGTCAAACGACTTCACCGGCCAACCCCCGTTTTCTTAGAGCAACACGGTGTACAGAAGCCACCAAATGTTCCTTGTTTGTTCTCGTTTCCTCTTCCTCCCGATCTGATTTTTTTTTTAGCAGACTCTTTTGCACGAGTTAATTAATGGGAAGCAGGCAGGTTGCAAAACAGAGTTGTTTTCTTTTGAGGTCCCGTTGCTCGAGAGAATCCATTCTCCACCTTGGAAAACCTGGTCTGGAGATGTTCCAGGGTTGATCGGCATTTAGGAATTTGCCTGTAAGTTAGTTAGACCAGGGGTCTCCAACCTTGGCAACTTGAAGACTTGTGGACTTCAACTCCCAGAGTTCCTCAGCCAACGGCTGAGGAGCTCTGGGAGTTGAAGTCCACAAGTCTTCAAGTTGCCAAGGTTGGAGACCCCTGAATTAGACCATCGGGGTAGCTTTTTTCTTGAGTTTTCCGTTTCCCCTCTTCCGTTTCCCGCAGTGTGGATGTGGGCAAATCCCCAGAAATCCCCTACGTCTACATCCTCTATAATGGGGAGGTGAGGAATCTCAAGCCTGTTCAAGTAGTGACCGCCTGCAGCCTGGACATCTACAACTTCCCCTTCGATGTACAGAACTGTTCTCTGACGTTCACCAGTTGGCTGCATAACAGTAGGTCACAAGCTGTATTGATGAATTCTTGGGGGCCTCCTGTATGGGGGGACGGGGATGACAACTAGAGAGGTCAAACTAGAGAGGTCAACAGTCCAACTAGAGAGGTCAAACTGGTGTCTATCACCTCTGGTAGTTGCCAATATCCATTTTCCAACCTAAGCAATCCTTTTGACTAAGGAGAAATCATCTAGCGATGGCTGTTCTCCATCGTAGCTTGATGGGATTCCACAATGAGAAGCCATGATCTGTCCTTTTGCTCTGGGAGAAAATCCCTGGAGAATTTGTTTGTTGTTGTTGAGGGCAGTTTCCTGCATGTTGGCCTTCCTTTGGGAGGATCCAATGCAGAAAAGATTCTAGTTTCAAGACTCAAATTGTCACCAGAGAACCAGTGGTGAAATTCAAAAATTTTGCCTACTGGTTCTGTGGGCGTGGCTTGGTGGGTGTGGCTTGGTGGTCATGTGACCGGTGGGCATGGCTTGGGGGGGTTCATATGACCGGGAAAACCAACTATCACACTTTACACAAAAATAACACAAAAGCTACACAACTGACTCACACACAATTCAAAAGCAGCTGTGGATTTCACACAAAATGGCCCCTGCAACAAGCTGGAACCTCACAGAGTCACAGAGAGCTCAAAAACAAACTATCACACTTTACACAAAAATACTGGTTTGGGCAATAGGTCGTAAAAAAATGCTTTAAAAAGTAAAAAAAAAAGTTACCTGATGGTGCAGCACAGCTGATTATAACAGCTGATAGTTGGAACCTCTCTCTCTCTTTTTTTTTTTTTACTTTTTTAAAGCATTTTTTTACTACCGGTTCGGGGCGAACTGGCCTGAACTGGTAGCATTTCTGCATAGAACCATTAGAAAAAGAATCATGCATGATCACAGACTGAATTGACTTAAAAATGGGTTGGCTACAGCCCATTTGTCTTTTTTGTTTTTCAGAATTTTCATGACTGTTGTAACAAAACATTGCTATGTTGCCAGGGAACTAAGGTGACGGGAGGAAGGAGTCCAAACAGGCTCTCTGTGACAGTTTTCCATAACACGGCACCTGGATTCACACAACATGCTAAAGCCTAAATCTGGGTTACATGTTAGCTACCTTCTTGTAACTTGCTATGAGACTGTGGTTCACACCCTATTTAAGTCAACCGTTGGTTTTTCACCAATCCACCAGTCTGGTGCTTGGGGCGCAAAGAACCACTCTTCTTCGGCATCCTTTTCCATTTCTTTATCCTCAGTACGAGACATCAACCTCTCCTTGTGGAGGACCCCGGAGGAGGTGAAAAATGACCGGAGCGTCTTCATGAACCAGGGCGAGTGGGAACTTCTTCACGTGCTCAGCCAATTTCGAGAGTTTAGCGTTGGGGACAATGATTACTACGCAGAGATGAAGTTCTTTGTAAGTGGCTGGGGTGGGCATTGGAAGGGAACCTGAACTGGGTGTGCCAGGCACAGCACTGGCACAGCAACTGCCCAAAAGACTGGAGGCGGAGGATAAGATGGGACCCCAAAAAGAACTCATAACCACCTGATCAGATACAGTAATTATAGCACAGTTTATGGGCAGCCATCCTTCTCATGGTCTAGAACCATGATGGCGGACACACATGCCAGAGGTGGCACACAGAGCCCTCTCTGTGGGCACCCATGCCATTGCCAGCTGTTCTTCTGGGTTCCATCGTATGCATGCATACTGGCCAGCTGGTTCAGTATGTATGTGCACTGGCCAGCTGCTCTGTTCCAGGTTCCGGCGTGCGCCTGGGCGATGGCCAACTGGTCTTCAGCTCGCATGTGCGCTCTGGAACCCAGGACAGAGCAGCTGGCCGGTGCACATGCACGCTGGACCAGCTGCTCCCTTCCGGGTTCCGGTGCTTTGGCATGCACGCACGCTCCAGCTTCGTCACTCGGTGCCAAAAAGGTTAGCCGTCACTGGCCTAGAAGCTGCAGCTGGAGTGGTGTTGCTGAGCCAGTCTGAAAGTTTTGCTTTGGACCTTCCCATCTCTGGAGAACATCCGAAGCTTCCAGATCTCCCTTTCTGTCCTAACAGGTGGTCATCCGGAGGCGGCCCCTTTTCTATGCTGTCAGCCTCCTGCTCCCCAGCATTTTTCTCATGGTCATGGATATTGTGGGCTTCTACCTGCCCCCTGATAGTGGGGAAAGAGTCTCTTTCAAGATCACCCTGCTCCTTGGCTACTCGGTTTTCCTAATCATTGTGTCGGACACGCTGCCTGCGACTGCGATCGGGACCCCTCTTATAGGTATGAGAGTAATAGCAACAGCAATGGCACGTAGACTTACATAACTGCCCCGTAGTGCTTTACAGCATTCTCTGGGTGGTTTACAAAGTCAGCGTATGGCCCCCCAACAATCTGGATCCTCATCTTACCAACCTCGGAAGGATGGAAGGCTGAGTCAACCTTGAGTCCCGACAGAATTGAACTCCAGATGGTAGACAGGAGTTGGCCTGCAATCCTGCATTCTAACCACTGTGCCACCAGAGTTCCTAATACCTTTATGGTCTTTGCTGGGATATGATAACTTAGTGGGAACACTCAGTCAGGTTGAGGAAAAGAAGAAACCCTTCTGAGATCTGTAGTGGTCAGATGCCAATCCAAGAGGACCATCCAACTGGCTTGTGGACAATGTCCTCTGATTTGCTTTGGTGCTGGGAATGATAGCTAAGATCAGGAGAATTCACATGTAATGCATATCTGGGACTCAACATGGTGCCTAAGTTGAAATCTAAAGTCAACCGAGGAGAAGGCTGGAATAGATGAGGATGAGGAGCAACTAGGATCCTTGATATGAGCAGCGGAGAACTTTGAGGTAGAAATGAGGGTTTGCTGCTGCCCCTGCAGGTATCTATTTTGTGGTCTGCATGGCCTTGCTGGTGATCAGCTTGACAGAGACTATCCTCATTGTACGCCTGGTGCACAAGCAGGACCTTCAGCCCCATGTTCCTGACTGGGTGAAGCGCTGGGTTCTAGAACGGGCTACCATCCTGCTCTGCATCCAAGACAGGAAAGCGTTCCGCCCCGTCTGCACTCAAAGTTCAAACATCTCCAGGAACATGGAGAATAACGACAGCACAGGTGAGGAGTCCCCAATCACGGCCTGATCATTCAGCCCCCTGCGATGGGAGTCAGATTGCGTTAAGCCACCATTGGTCAAAAACACCACAACTGGCTGGGTTTACACAAGGTTCGGTTTTGTGTACGGTGTAAACCTAGCTACAGGTAGTCCTCGATTTACAACAGTTCATATAGTGACCGAAGATTCAATGGCACTGGAAAAAGTGACTTATGACCGTTGCAGCATCCCCGTGGTTACGTGATTTACAATTCGGATGCTTGACAATTGGCTCACATTTATGACCGCTGCAGTGTCCCTGGGCCATGTGATCCCCTTGTGAAGCTTTCTGATATGCAAAAGTCAACGGGGAAACCAAAATTCACTTAACAACCCTGTTACTAATTTAAGAACCTCAGTGATTCACTTAGCAAATGGAGCAAAACTCACTTAACAAATTTCTCACTTAGCAACATAAATTTTGGGCTCAGTTGTGGTCATAAGTTGGGGACTCCCTGTATATTGGGTTGAATATTTCTCTTTGGCAGAGAGAGATTTTACTTTATGAGCCTTGAAGGTTCGTGATGGGCTAAGGCAGTGTTTCTCAACCTTGGAAGCTTGAAGATGGGTGGACTTCAACTCCCAGAATCCCACAGCCAGCGCTGCTGGCTGGGGGATTCTGGGAGTTGAAGCCCACCCATCTTCAAGCTACCAAGGTTGAGAAACACTGGGCTAAGCAAAGCGCTGAGCCTCCTTTTCAGCATGCAGGGAGGGTCCCAAACGCATCCTCTGGGTCCGATTCAGCCTTATCCATTTCCGTCTCCATCACTTCCTCCAGCCAAGCTGAACCACTACAGCTGTGACGCCCCACGGGACTACGAAGGCAGAACGGGTGATGCAACAGCCCCACTGCAGGGCCAGAGCCCAGAGTTGGTGGCACACATCCTGCATGAGATCGCAGCCATCCGCCAGTTCCTGGAGAAGCGAGATGAATTCCGGGATATCGCCTGCGAGTGGCTGCAAGTGGGCTACGTTTTGGATGTCCTCCTCTTCCGTGCTTACTTGGTGGCGGTGCTGGCCTACAGCATAACCCTTGGCACGCTGTGGTCTATCTGGCAGTATGCCTGAGGCACCAGCCTTACCAGGGAAGGGCTCGGCAGACCACGCGCCACTGATTCCCAATTGAGGAATGAATATTGGTTCAACTTTCAGGTTCCACATAAAGTCCCAAACCACAATCTCTCTTGCTGACGGGAGAGTACCAGTTATTGTCAACCTCTTTATCCCATGTTTTCACGTTTCGGGGTATATTATTTTAGTTAGGTTCTTCTAAGGACTTGATGTCCCTTGCATCTCCTTGTCTTTATCTGCGTAATCTCTTTAAGAAGGGAAATTTTGGTCCCTGGGAACTCTTTCTTTTTCAGGGAATTTCAATCCCCAAGATGGCTAATAGAAAGTTTAACTGTGTTTTGAAGTCGTGTTCAGCAGCATTTATATTCTGTGTGGCTATTTGCACTAATATTGTCAATTGGCCTGTCTGTAAAATGGGCAGCTGCTTTTCTTGCCGTGCTCCTATCTGTTCTACAATAAACAGAATTAAACTGAACACATCCAAGAACTGTGGACCTGATTGCTCAGCTTATAAACGAAGAATCCGAGAAGGCTTCTCTGTTGAGTATCTAGCCGAGGTAAATTGTTGCAGCTGTTCTTAAAAGGAAGCATTGATTCGAGTGGAAATAAAATGCTTATTTAAATGGCTAATTTAAAGAATTACCGTCAGACTTGTAAACCAACCAGAGTCACTTGGTTGAGATCGGCATCTACAGAAATTGCATAAATAAATAAGTAAACAAACAAAATATCCAGTCTGGATATTTTGAAAGCAACAATGACATTACATCGTAAGAGAAAGGGAGAGAAGATATTTCAAAAAGGAAGAAGGCCTGAAGTTGCTTCAAGGTGAGGGAGGTGGAAGATGTCTGCTTTGTGCCAGAGCAAATTCTGTTGAAATTAATGCAGCAATTTTGATAATTTCCTGGAATTTGGGGTGACATTTGACTACTCAAACGATTTATCCTCCCGTTCTGAAAGTCCATCAGCATATTCACTGCCAATTTTAACAGATTAACAGAGTTGGAAGGGACCTTGGAGGTCTTCTAGTCTAGCCCCCTGCTCAGCCAGGAAGCCCTATACCATCCCAGACGAAGTGTCTGTCCAGCCTCTTCTTAAAAACTTCCAGTGTTGCAGCACTCACAACTTCTGGAGGCAAGCGGTTCCACTGGTTAATTGTTCTCACTATCAGAAAATTTCTCCTTAGTTCTAGGTTGCTTCTCTCCTTGATTGATTTGCATCTGTTGCTTCTTGTCCATTGTTGATTAGTTCCATTCCATTGCTTCTTTCTTCCTTACAAGATGCAGCAGTTAAAGATTTAGGGGTGAACTGGCAACTTTGATATTAAAAAGTTTGTGTAAGCTAAAACGTCTCACACGCAAGAACACGGAACGACATCATAGACCCCATATATAGTATCACCCGATCCCTTCCGGCTTTACATACATTTCCTCGAGTCAGAAGTTTATGGCTCGATTTATATTTATGTTCAGCACCATGGACAGAGCAAGCAGATTTGCCGCATTGGCAGGGAACTGCTCCTGATCCTTTAAAAAAAAAAAAACTTCCAGAAACTAAAGTTAATAGGTACCAGAGCATCTCTCCCTCCACGTGTTGCTAAGCTTTAGACCTCACAAAGCTCAAGAGAAGGAAAATTAGAGAGAAATAAATGCCTCTTTCTGCATGGAAGGATTGGAAACAGGAGCTGGGATCTGTTAGGACTCACCACCCGCCCTTCTGCCTATCTGCCACTTGGCAAATATTAGAGCAAGTGTCTATGGAGATTCTCAGTCATTCAGGTCCTGGTTGTCCCAAAGGTGCTTTTTCGAGAGGCAAGTCCAGTTGCCTCTTGAAAAAGCACCTTTGGGATGTTAGAGCAAGCTTTAATGCATCCCAGCCAATGGCCATTTGTTGCCAAAAGACACTTCTATTTGGCAAGACATAAGAAATAGGCAGAATATTCACCCAGCTCCTGCCCTTCTCTTGGGCGGCAAACACTTTCTCGGATTCACCCTATAGAAACCATACATAGGATGACAATTTCTGGTCAATGGGAACTTCACATTTTGACTAACTTAGAAGAGCTTCACCAAGCAGGTGCCCTTCCTCTGTCTTGGACATTAACTCCAGAATCCCTAACTCTCATGCGTGACTAGAGAGTCTGGCAGTCGGTTCAAGGCTTTGGAGAGAGACTGGTATTGTAAGTCCTTGAGTAATTCTCCTGCGATATGTGACCAACAAGCCTCTGAAGAACAACAGCTTACAAACCGTCATCCAAGCATCCATCTGTTTGGGAAGTGAATGCTAGTCACATCCAACTGTTTCTCACAATCGGTTCTTCACCAAAGTTGATCTTTCAGTCCCTCTCCATCTTGCGTTTGCCCAGAAGGTCAGGGCTCCAGCTGAAACATGCATCAGCTGGAAAAATGAAGGATGGTGAGTTTGCCAGGACCTGTCAGGAGGAAGACGTTCAAAATGCACCACCAAGAGATGCCGAGGAAGGGAAATTTGTCACAAGCTGCATGTGTCATATATGCCCTGCCAGGGAATGCAGCTTTAGCAACCTATTCATACTGGCCAATATTTTTATAGGTACCAGGTGAGTGCATGGAAGTCCTGGCAGGGTGGGCTTCTGCTAAAATATCTCCTGGCAGCTATCATTTTGATCATGCAACATTTTTTAGGCTGAAGACCAGGGACTGCATTCCAATGCAGGGGTGGAATTAAGTCCAACACAGAATTGGATTCATCTTAATTGAAATTGAATTAAAACAGAATCACATTTCAGTTAATACAATTACCTGCCATGTATTGTGTATTATGTTCCTTTTCTGCTGCCTCACAAATTAGAGCTTCAGACAGAATTGTTGGGTTGTTTCCAAGGCCTTGTGGTACCCAGGAACCGAAGTTGTGCCTTTCAAAGCAGTGCCTACCCTTGACTGTTGACTGTTGACTATGGTGAAATGGATGGGCTTGCTCTCATCCCTATGAAAAGCACCGAGTCTCTGAGGTTCTTAAACCCACAATCAATTTAATGCTATACTTCCAACACACTTGTGTGTGTACCAAAATAGTGCAATCTTCTCCAAAGTTACGGTTCAACTGATCTTTGTGTCCTGGATAGTTCAGCTTGTGGTCTTCATACATTGGATATCAAGGAGAGCTCGTTTCTCTGAAGAGATTTTGTATTCCACAGTCAACCCTCCATGAATAAGCTAGATTTTCAACTGGAAGGGGAAATGAGTAGTACGGAATGTGACGTGGATATGGAATTTACCTGAAATGAATTGAAAATCAGTGCTTCGAAAAGTATAAATGTGCCTTTTAAGAGTGGGAACAAATTGACCCTTTGGTCTAATTTTGATTAACACGGGCTAAATGCCCCTTCCAGAAGATGGCAGAGCTTGACTTTGGAACTGTCTGAATATAAACAGTAAGTACTTTTACTACTCAGCAATGAGTCTTTAATTCCCACAGAATTAAAAAATAAATAAATCACACTCTTATGGATTAGTTTGGAAGACTTTTCAGACGGTTGAGTTTTGCGTCATTCTAGCAAATATCTGACTTACAGGAACCCTTCAGGATGACTGGCAAGTGGGAAGTGGGTTAGTGCCAGTGTGGGGTCTTGGCAATGGGGATCCTGCAGTAATGTACTGATGATCTGTAAGTGGCTGGCTATCGATGAGGTGTCCTGTTAAAGAGTTAGTAAGACACTAAATCAGCCCCATTGATCCTAGCGAGATCGATGTTGCTACAGACCTGATCACTACAATGGGCAATTAACAACCACTGGAATGAGCTGCCTTCATGTAACATCAAATGCTTCAACAGACAAATCCAATCGACACATCGATCTGGCACTTCCTGGTGCTGTGACGAGGTGCGTGTGTGTGCACATATACCATATACAGTGTTTCAAGAAATGAATGCATTGGCACTCCACTGTCTGAGACGCACTCGTGCCTGTAGGCTGGGTTGCCACATCTAAACCCATTGAACCAAACACAAGTCTATTCGCATAACATGCTAAACCCATACCTGGCTCGATAGTAGTGACTGACAGGGATCTTGGAGTCCTAGTGGACAACCATTTAGAGATGAGTCAGCCGTGTGGAGCAGCTGCCAAAAAAGCCCACGCAGTTCTGGGCTGCATAAACAGAGGGATAGAATCAAGATCACGTGACGTCTTAATACTACTTTATAATGCCTTGGTAAAGCCATGCGTGGAATACTGCAGCCAGTATTAAATGTAAAAAAAGATGTTGAGACTCTGGAAAGAGTGCAGAGAAGAGCAACAAAGAGGATTAGGGGACTGGAGGCTAAAACTTACGAAGAACGGTTGCAGGAACTGGGCATGGCCAGTCTAGTGAAGAGAAGGACCAGGGGAAACATGATAGCTATTTTCCAATACTTGAGGGGCTGCCACAAAGAAGAGGGAGTAAAACTATTCTCTAAAGCACCAGAAGGCAGGAGAAGAAGCAATGGGTGGAAACTAATCAAGGAGAGAAGCAATTTAGAACTAAGGAGAAATTTCCTGACAGTCAGAACAATTAATCTGTGGAACGACTTGCCTCCAGAGGTTGTGAATGCTCCAACACTGGAAGTTTTTACGAAGATGTTGGATAACCATTTGTCTGAAATGGTGTAGGGTTTCCTGCCTAGGCAGGGGGTTGGACTAGAAGACCTTCAAAGGTCCCTTCCAACTCTATTATTCTATTCTATTCTAAACCATACAGCCAGTTCATGGACCAGAGGTGGGTTTATGGAGAATGGAGATCAGCATTGCCTCTCCTCCCCCCTCTCTTCCCCTCCCCACCAGGATTTTTTTCTGCAAGTTGTCTCATAGGTTACAAATCCCGAGAGGCATCTCTGTTCTGTGTTGGTCAAACTGTATGCAATTCTCAGCACCTGCATTTAGAATGGAGCATCTCCTAAGGACAGACAGTAAGGGCTTGCAAAGAAAAACTGGAGAGGAAAGGTGGGAAGTGTTTGTTGTGTTTAGTCTGGAGAAGCCTAGCCAAAAACCTTCAGCTGCCAAGGATCACAGTCCAGCATGAGGCTGGTGAGGGAACCTTCTGGCTCAGAAGCAGATGACTCTTGTAGGCCTCTTCTCTCCGTTGTCCTCTCTGACAGTGGGGACTCGTGGTTGGCTGTCAGAAAGAAGGTCCACATGGAATAGAATTCTTTATTGGCCAAGTGTGATTGGACACATAAGGAATTTGTCTTCGGTGCATAAACTCTCAGTGTACATAAAAGGTATAAGTGATAAATCAAAAGAGAAAGAGATGCATGGCAATAGTGGACTCCTCCTCTTGGAACATTTGAAACAGAGGCTGTTGTATGGATTCCTGATCTGGACAAGTGTTGGACTAAGGCAGGGGTAGAGAACTCTGGCCCTTGTAGGACTTATGGACTTCAACTCCCAGAATTCCCGAGGCAGCATGGGAGCTGAAGTCCACCAGTCCTAAAAGGGCCAGAGTTCCCGATCTCTGGATTAGGGGATCGCTCTGTCTCCTCCCAGCCTTGCAATCGAACGATTCTGTGGAACTGGTGAACACACAAAGCAATTTCCTTCCCAGCTTTGGGATTCTTACCCAGGCAGCAGCACCGCTTGACCTCAGAAAGGGACCGGCTCTCTCTTTGGCCAGAAAAACACTGTGCTTTCTAGTTACCCCGAGTGGACACATTGCCCTGTCCTGCAAGGTGAGGGCTGTGTGTTTGAGCTGCCCACACGATGGCGGCAGAGCCCAGGGATTCCGCGGTTTACAAGCTGCCGAAGACAAGGAAGGATTCGAGCCTTCCAAAGTCTTGCCACTGCTTGCATCCACGGCTTGCAAGCAGAGATATGCCGGATAGTAGATATATATTGGGATAACCAGGCCTTGAAATGGAGTGCAGGATTGTCACGCAAAATTGACAAGGAAGGGGTGGGGGGACACAAGCCCTTGGTTTCCCACCAGGAAAGGACTGGTAGCAGCAGCCTCTATGAAGATAGGATGGTGGCTTGCAACCTCCAAGTCTATGGGATTCTCTGGCCCATAAGCTTGCAACCAGCCTCGTCTTTGCGGGCGAGTTGAAATCATTTTTAAAAAGAGTCTGGTTGACTAGAAGTGTTAAGTGGAAGCCCCATAGGCAACTACTGACATGTTGAGTGAATGGTTTGCAGCCCAGAAAAACGTGGAAATTGCTCTAGAGTTGATGAGACAGAAAATCGGGGAAAGCCTTCCAAAGATCTAGCGCCAGGTGGGAACACTCTCACCTGGTTCCAGAGCTTTGGCCATTAAAGTAGAGACAAAGGCTTTGTGGGGACAAATATGCCAGTATTCATCCAATATTAAAGGGAATTTGTGCTCCGGTCACACACATTTTTCAGCCACCGTGAAGTTCTAAAGAAATTCTGCCCAGGGTTCCAGCATACCAGCTGGGGAAAAAAAAAATCAAACATATTGATAGCTACAATAAACAAGAAATAAACTATGTAGCACCAGAAGATAAAGGACTAGAAGCTTGAAAGGGAGTTGAAGCATTGAGAAGGTCTGAATTCTCTCGGAAGCAACAGAGAAAAGTTAAATTTAGTCCTGACATTTGCAGTGGGGTTACAGGCAGATCTTCCGAATGGGGCTCTTTTCTGACGCTTTATTGTCTGTTGGTGTTCAGAGTGTTTACTCTTAATTTAGCCAACCAGCTAAAAAGCTGGAGTTTCTTCAGCTCTTCCTATCTCCCATGTTGCACTGCTCCTCTTCCCATTGGGCTGCTCCGTCATCCTTCTGAGTGTCTCTACGGGCCGCTCCCCCAAAACTCAGGAATGTGGGAGGAACAGGCTGTTCTCTGCCATCGTGCCTCTGAACAGCTGACCTCACCGGAGGTCAGTAAATGCAGCCGCATGACATGAGCCCTCCAAAATAGCACATAGGCTAAATAAAAGCCTATGATGAAGAGCCGGAGCAAATGAGGATAGTACGAAAGGGGAAGGCAGCGTTTTCGAATGAAATGTCTAAAATCATCCAGGAAAAGAAACAGGGTGGGAGGGTGGGGGGGGGAGGGGAAGGGAGGGGAGAGATATTATTTTAAAATATGACATTCTTTATGTCTTGGTTATGATGCTCTGACATTTATTTCAAGACAGAAGTGCATAAATTCAGCGTTGCTAAAGAAGCTTGCCAATGTTTGCGAAAAGATATATTTGGCACAGGCTTAATTTACTCTGCACTTTTTCATGCTGAAGTTATTTAACCGTGATTTGTTGATAAACCGTAAGGGCTGAATCCACACAACATACCCAGTGGAAAAAGACGCTGGCACGGGTTGGGGGGATGGGGAATTATTTAGGAATGTAAACCTGGTTACTTTGACTGGGAACTGGAGGCTAAAACATAGGAAGAACGGTTGCAGGATTTGGATATGGCCAATCGAGAGAAAAGAAGGACTAGGAGGTGATACGATAGCAGTGTTTCAGTATTGGAGGGGCTGCCACAGAGAGGAGGGGGCCAATTTATTTTCCAAAGCACCTGAGGGCAGGACAAGAAGCAATGGATGGAAACTAACCAAGGAGAGAAGCAACCTGGAATTAAGGAGAAACTTCCTAACAGGGAGAATAATCAACCAGTAGAAGTTGGAGAAGCTCCAACTTCTGGAGCTTGCCTCCAGAAGTTGTGGGGTTTTTTTTAAGAAGCGATTGGGCAGCCACCTGTCTGAAAGGGTCTAGGGCTCTAGGGCAGTGGTGGGATTCGGCCAGTTCGCACCACTTCGGGAGAACCGGTTTCTGAACAGTTTGATGAACTGGTTTTTGGAAGAAATAATTAGGGCAGAGAACTGGTTGTTAAATTATTTGAATCCCGCCACTGGTATAGGACCTCTTGCTTGAGTAGAGGGTTGGACTAGAAGACCTCTAAGGTCCCTTCCAACTATTCTGTCATGCTGACTGGTATGCCCAACATGCTGAAGCATTAATCATCATAGACCAACCAAACCGAGCCATGAAAAAGGGGGAAAAAATGGCCGCCTTGCCTGGTTCTATTAGCCCAGCTCCTTTCCTTCCCTGGTTGGGAAAAGGTGAGCATTGCCAAGCAGCCATTTTTCTGGATGGGGCAGCTGAAAACGTCTATATATGCTCATAAATAATTTGAATATAAACAGCACACTATATTTAAGTAACACTAATTACTCCGTTGATTCCACGTAATTAACGTTTAACTGCATTTTAATTTTCATGGGATTACGCAGCTTGGCAGGGCAAATCTCTTCCGCCCCCCCCATCCTCCCGGCGAGGTTCATGTCATAAAAATCCCGTCGGATGTCCGTAATTTCGATATAGAAGCCGAGAGCCGAGAAGGGGCAACTGTGCCAGGGCTTGTTTAAGTTGGCCTGGATGATGGCAGCTCGAGGCACGTTTTAAATTTGGTTTGGGGTGCTAGGCCACTGTGGGGCCCCTAAAAGGACCCCTCCCCAGGAGGCATCTTTCCTTCCCGTCTGCCAAAGCAGGGAGGGGGCGGCGTCTGCCCTCTGGGTCTCCCCCTCCTGGCGTGTGGAGCTGCTGCAGGGTGCCTCCCTCCCCTCCCCTCCCCTCCCCTCCCCTCCGACCAAGCGGGCGCCCGAGTGTTGGGCAAAGGGCTGTACAGTTTGCATCTCAATAAAAAGAGGGCCGGCGCAGCAGTTAATGTAATCAGTAAATAAATAAAGGAGGGCTTAAGCGTGGTGTACAGCAATCAGTTTAGAACTACAGGATAATTAACCCAGCAGGAGGCCGGAGCAGCCTATAGTCAGGTTTAAATGAGCGAGTTCACTTTCATTGAAGCAAACTTGCTCAGCTCCCTGGGGAGCCTCACATACACCCAGAACAGTCTTGGCAAAAGGCCCCGAGAGAGAGCGGAGGAACACGTGGGCCGCCAGCAAGCCCCCGCCCTCCCCTCCAATACTCCAACCCAGACCAACCCTTGTCCTAAAATGCCACTGAGTCAGGGTGGCTTATTTTTGAGACGGCGGGTGAAATACCCAACAGCACAGGACTCAGTTTTGCCACCACTCAAATGCACCCCTCCCTAGATGGATTCTGCTTCTCCCTCCCCAAAGCCAAAGGTTCACGTCATTCGAGAAAGCACCATGCAAGACTCACAGAGGCTAAAACGAAGGAAGAACGGTTGCAGGATCTGGGTATGGTTGGTCTAGTGAAGAGAAGGACCAGGGGAGACAGGAGAGCAGTCTTCCAATATTTGAGGGGCTGCCACAGAGAGGAGGAAGGGGGTCAAGCTATTTTCCAAGGCACCCGAAGGCCAGACAAGGAATCATGGATGGAAACTGACCAAGGAGAGATTCAACTTGGAAATAAGGAGGAATTTCCTGAGAACAATCAACCAGTGGAACAGAAGTTGCGGGAGCTTCATCACTGGAGGCTTTCAAGAAGAAACTGGACTGCCATCTGTCAGAAATGGTGTTGAGTCTCCTGCTTGAGCTAGATGACCTACAAGGTCCCTTCCAACTTTGTTATTGTTATTCTTTTTAGAATTCTGAGCTTGTTTAGTCCATTCTCCATCACCAGATCTGTCCTAACATCTAGGTCACTGGCATGAAGTCAGCGAGGTTTTCTTTTGGATAATACATCCATGATTCATAGGACAGATGTAGAGGTAATCATGGGTGTTTTGACTTCTAAGTTCCTTTGGATTGAGACTGTGGGCTTCAGAACGGACTGCCCTCCAGAGGATAATTGTACCCCTTCTAGCGTTGGCCAAGGTCGAGAAATGCTGCTGTAGGCCATTCATTCCTGGAACCACAGCCATGCTCCAAGTTTTGGGTGCAACAGAATTTGTGTCTTGCCTAGTGAAAAATCTGTGAAGTTGAAGCACAGATTTCATTCGTCACGCAAAGCCTTTGTTAGACTTGGCTTCGTTTTAGGGCCTTGTCTGGATCAGTCCCGTGTCTGGTTTGGAGGACAGATTTATGGCTCAGATTAGAAGACCTGGAGCAGGTTACCATGGATTGTTCAACTAACCACAGTTGTGGCTTAGTGTGGTTGTATATGAAGCCAGTCTCTCTCTCTCTCTCTCTCTCTCTCTCAGTTCAATGACATCATAAATGGACTCCCAGACCACTCCTCCATCCCAGCTGTGAAACGGCAAAGAATGAAAGAAAACAATGAGCCACCAGCATATCAACGACTGAATTAACTTTATTGTATTTTTTTTATTCCTAACTGCAGATTCAAGATATACAACTGAACATTGCTATTTTCCTTATGAGACTTATAAATAAAAATACAAAAAATGTCCACTACAAAAAAATCTACTGTTAGTAGGATGTAAAAAATATTCTCTTTGCTATAGAAGGCACAAACTTCACTTAGTGACAAATGGAGAGAAAAAAAACCTGCAGCAATACATCGTTTTTTGTGGGGGGGGGGAGACTCCTTTTGTCTTGTGTCCCCCCCACCCTCTCGCCAGAAAACACAGAAGGTTTACAGAGAATTCTCCTGGGCCTTTCAGAGTAGATGCAGGAGGAGAGAATGGCAACTAGAAAAAGGACATCACAACTTTCTGTGGGGGTGGGGGTAGAGGGAGAAATGATTTATTTTGTGTGCATGTGTGTGTGTGTATTTTTAACTTAAATGCGTCTAAGACTCTAGAGAAAGCTTATAACAAGACGCACAAGCTGCACTGCAAAGGAACGAACAGAAAAGTACTTTGTACAGGAAAAAAAAAATATATATACATAACACAGTATTTGGAAAATAAACTAAATAACAACAAAAAAAAAAATTGGCACCTTCTTAAATCAGGCTAGCAGGAGGTGCTGAGGTAGACCGAGCCAGGACAGCAATTAAAACAAAAACAAAAACAGGATTTCTCTTTTAACATGAAGCGATCAAACTGGCACTTTTAACTGCGACAACATGAAGAGATAAAGAGATTAATTAAAAACACAACAAGTGAAGGAGAAGCTTTAAATTTGCTTGGTCCAGAAGGACACAATTGGTCCTCAGTGCTAATATATATATATAGATATAGATATAGATCTGAAATCTATGAACATCCATGGAGATTTGGCATGGCTCCAAAAAAACCTATGCCTCTTTTAAACACGATGCCCAACAAATACTGAGATGCGTGTCAAGAAAATGACAGCCCTGGGCTGAAGGAGGTCATGGTAAGGGGAGAGCAAAAGCTTGAACAGACATCCAGTCCCTGACCATCTTTTGCGCCCCCTGCCCGGGTCTGCCTACCCCAACCCCAGCCTTCTTTGCCAAAACCCCTTGGCATCCATCAAGGGAGCCCTCTGCAGTGTTTCTCAACCTTGGAAGCTTGAAGATGGGTGGACTTCAACTCCCAGAATCCCCCAGCCAGCAGCGCTGGCTGGGGGATTCTGGGAGTTGAAGTCCACCCATCTTCAAGCTTCCAAGGTTGAGAAACACTGCTTTAGAGACTAGAGGGCGGGGTCAGGATGAAGTGGGCGGGGTCAGGGAAGAAGTGGGTGGACAAGGGAGAAGAATTCCATTGGATTATTTTGAATTGATAAGCGTGGAAGTTTGCCCATTCAGTAGGCTTTGATTAATTCTCTGCAGCTGCCAACAGAGTAAGGCTCAGCAGCTTTGGCATGGGCTCTCATGCTTCGGTTGTGGAAGTTGTGTTGCTGTGAAGCAGAACACAGCCTGTGGGGTGGAAGGGGCACAAAGGATGGGGGGACTGGAGTGCAATGTGGCCCGGGCATCCTCCCTTGCACCAGTGCCAGGGGCCGGTGGGTCAAGAATTGCAAGGGGTCAAGAATTGCAAGGGGGCACCAGAATTTTGTTATCCAAGCATAATGATGGGTGAGACCATGACATTCCTTAGCTAGCAAGTCCTCCCCTAACCCCCCAAGGTACCAAATCATTAATTAAGAAAGCACTGCAGCATTTTATTCCTCTTTCCCCCCCCCAAAAAAATGCGCAGAAATCAACACACACACAAACACACTTCTTCTTAGGCACAAAGATTGACAAAAAAAGGGGAAGGAAAAAGCCATTTTTCCAAAGTTGTTTTTGAAGATTGTACAATGAAGCCGCCCCGGTCTTGTTTCCCACCACAAAGAAGCCACAAAGTTATATTTCTCCATCGGACGGACACGCACGAAACACACACCAGCAAGGGGTTGTACACAATAACCGTACTGCTTTCAGTTTCTGAAATGTCATCCCAAAGCAACAATCACAGACAGCCAGGAATATATACTTGCAAAGGGGAGCCTAATCAAACCCACGGAAGGGGTCGGTGGGAGGGGGCCATGCCAGAGTGGCGGGTTGGTGGGAGGGGATCCCACGCTCAGATTTGGGGGCCAGAACGGCAGCCTGTTAAGGGGCCAAGGAAGAGAGGAGGGGAGCCCAGACAACCCTCCGAAGCCCCCCAAATTCCATCTGGTTTGTGCAGGTGGCGTTTTGTGACTCGCCCTCTTCTTCCTCCTCCTCCTTGTGGTGCCAAGCACTTTGCCACCCTGTCACTGGTTAAGCCAGCTTGGATCATGCCATGCAACGATAGGAAGCCAACCATCATTAAGAGAGGGAGGCAGGCAAGTGGCAAGAGGCCAGCCCACCATTTGCTCCCCAAAACCACTGGAGTGTCCTTCCCACCCACCCCTCCTCTCCACGGCACGCCGAGGGTCCCACCTGGATCCCGTGCCCTCCCCAAGTGTGCTTTGCAAGCCGGGATTCTCCGCCCGAGCTGAGTACCATCTGATATGGCAAACTCTTTACAACAATACTGCATGATTTATTATTTAATACTAGGTTTCCAACGCATACCCGCAGACGCAAACATATTCCTGTTCACATTTACAAAGGGAAGAAGAGGGACGACATCCTGCTTGACACAGAGACTAACAAAGGTTACAAAAATATTACACTTTTGAAATAATTTATCAGTCCAACACTTTTAGCTTGGGGAGGGGCGGGCAAGAGAGGAAGACTCCTCAAAGCCCTCCCCCTCCCCGATTTTAAAAAGACAGCACCCAACAAGGTTGGGGCTCCATCAGAAGGGCTGGTTGGAGTTGCCACTTCCGACAAATGTCACACTGGTACATTTACTGCATATTGTTCATTAAAAGATCTGCTTTGAATGCTGTCGTTTTTTTTTTTCTCTCTCTCTCTCTTTTTCACATTATAAACAAAACTCTACTTAACTATTCACATATTCAAGTTTAACTGGTTTATTTTTTTTTCTTTCCTTTTACCAAATTGCTAAAGGTTTCACTAAATTTTCAGCTCTCTGGACTTACAATGACACAGAGTCTCTTTTATCACTCTTTCTCTCTCCCCCCCACACCCCGTTTTTAAGGCCTTCAGTATTTTCCAACATTGAGGAAGGATCAGGGTCAGATTTTAGGAGGGAAAGCGTGTGGAGCAACAGGACAGAGATAGATCGCTTAAAATTCTTCCATCTTCACCAGCGATTCTCAATCTTGGCCACATTAAACTGTGTGCACTTCAGTTCCCAGAATTCCCTAGCCAGTATGGGGAATTCTGGGAATTGGGGAGTCCACACCGCTTAAAGTGGTTGAGAAACATGGATCTGCACTTTCTTTGCTGAACATTCCCCCGTGTATAAAAGCAGCTAAATTACAAAATAAAACGTACAATTGTAAATATAAAGCATGAGATGAAGTGAAGTTTACAAAGCCACCCGCCCACAAATATTGCAAAAACTGTGCTTCTGTAACTGCCAAAAAAAAAAAAAAAAAAAACTTAACAATAACAACATCAACTTAAAAAGAGGTAGCTTTTCAAGATCATCTCTGAACCACGTCAGGCTGGATCGTAAAAACAAACACCAATTTTGGTAGTAACAACAATAATAATAATGCACAATCAACACGAAACAAGAAGGCTGGCGTGGAGAGGAATGTCCGTGGGGTTTTTTCGGCTGTGCTTGGACACGGGTGCAAACCCTCCTGGTGGCCTTTTCAGCAATGAACCCCCCAACTCGTCCCCCCCCTCCCCGCAGAAAGCCAACTCAAAGAAGCTCATGAGGTCACAAGAAACCGAGATCATTTCAAGTACAATGTGCGAAAATGAGGGGAAAAAATCATCAAAATGAAAGCAAAGACACAACGAAGATGGAGGGCAGCTGCATTCCCCTCTCAGTTGCGATGGCGACAGAAGTCCGGGCAGGAAGGGCCTCCGGAGAAGTCTTGATGGGATGATGTTCAATGGGGGAGGGGACAAGAGAGAAGGGAAAGAACCTCTCCCCTTGGCTGAAGGCACCAAGGGTCAAGGTGGAGAAGCAAGGAAGCCTCAAGCCAGTGTTTCAAGCGGGCAGAGGGACACCTTCTCAAGCTAAGGTGGTCCTCTAGAAGGGGCATCCCTGGACAAGGATATCGAGGGAGGGGGACCAGTAAAAATCTAAACTGGGTTGAATTTTGATTGCACTTAAATCAAGGACATGAAGTCCACCCAACAGTCGTTCTTCCAGACCTGTATTCCTTCCTCCTTTCCTTCTGCCAAATTGCAATTTGGTGGCTATTTTGGGAAAAGCTCTGGAAGCTGCCCATAAACCTAAGGTTCTGGAGGGGAGGGGAGAGGTCCCAGGTTGCACACTTCCCTGGACCAGAAAGAAGAGTGAGCTGGAAGGGAGTCTTGGAGGAAACCCCCCAACCAAGAGACAGGCCTATATAAGAACTGTCTGTCCTCTTGGCAATGTTGTTATGTGCAAAGCAGAAACAGAAGTTCCTCCCTAGAAGAAAATATTGGGGATATGATGATTACAAGGTGGACACGTTCTTCTTGCTGAGGGTTGCAAGGTGGACACTCAGAACAAATGGCTCTCTAGCCTCTCAAATAAGCCCAGGTGGCTGCCAGGAGACATACCTGCCCAGAGACAGCATTAACTCCTACATCTCTGGGAATTGGTCTTCCACTCTTCTGAGAAGAGGAAGAGGCGCTTCAATGGGACTCTCAACTTTGGGTCAGACCTACCCAGCCAATTTATCTGGATGCCGATGATGCACAAAGAGCAGAAAAGGCACAAGGTCGAACCAGCCCTGCTTCTTTAGCCTGCCCATCCCCACATTTGCTAGGCAGGGATCAGGACATCAGTCCTGGGCAGAAGGAAGATCCAAGCTGAACCTTGGACAGCTCCATGGACCAAGAAGGCTATTCCATGTGCTGAAGTCAAGACTGCAAGGACTCTTCCACACTGCTCGGCATCGCACCCTCGGCACACCTCAAATCCAGGTGCCACGATCAGCTACAGGTGGTAAGTGTCTTCAGGCAGCCCATCCTCAAGAATAATTGAAGCCATGTCTGGGCTGGTTTCCATCCACTGATGGCCAGGTTCTCTCCATGGGAATGGAGCCGAGACTTCCATGGACATGTGGTTATTCCAGAGGAAGGAGTGGGACTGAGGCTGTTGACTAGGAGAAAGTCGAGCCCCATGGAAGTCAATGGGGAAGGTCTTGAGAATAGGGGCTCCGCAGAGCTCCCCAAAGCCTCAGAGGGCAGGATCGGGGGTCTCTCTAGCAGCCGCTGGGTTTCCCCTAAGCCTTGTCATTTGGATTTCTCCTCTGCTCGGACACGGCTGGCCGCCCAAGCTAGCCAATGTGCAAACTTATGCTGCCTCTCTCCTCCTCATCCCTCTCTCCCCTCTCGCTTCAAAAATAAATAAATAAAAATAAATGCATAGAACGGTCTTTGGTCAGAAGAAAGGGAGTCGCAGCTCCCAGGGAATAACTGGAGTCCAATTCTGAGCACATTTTGGGGGGGTCTCGTTCTTTGAGGCAGCAACCCCCAACATTTAAGCCACCGAGGCCAAAATGCGATCGGCTGAATCAATGAGAAAAGGGTTGATGCTGTAGGTTCTAATGCTCTCCCCTAGCAGAGCCCCCCCAGGACACCCCCTGCACTTCCTTGAACCTCAGGAGGGATGTGGGATGTCCCAAGGCAGCTGGGACCTTCCCCACAGCTGTGGCATCAAAGAACTCCCTAACGGTTCCATCTCTCCCAAACATGTCCTTGAATTTGGCAGCTAGGTCACCTCTCAAAGGAACCAGCGAGGTGTGTGTATGTGTATGTGTAAATTTGGGGAATCGGCCAGATGCGTGTACGGAAAACTGCATCCTGCTGTTGAAGTGACTTCCAGGAGGACCATGGGTGTGTCAGGGATCAGCATTGGAGCAAAATAAAGGGACCCCAACAGAGACTCCTCACGACGCTACAGTTCCAAGGATCCCTTGGAAATTGCAGCTCAGGGGGTTGATTGGATCTCAGCTTACACCCCGACTGAGGGAAATTCGCCATCCCCCCCAAGGAGCAACAGGGGCCCAGAAGAAGTCTGGAGCTATGAGGCACCCCAAAACTCATGACCACCACGTGAGACAACTTCACAGCTAGATGGGCTGAGGGGATGCTCCTTTGGGGGGATTCTTTGAGGGACCCCAACGGCCTCTCTTCCCTCTCCCTCGTTTCTCCCTGTCCCACCCACTCCTTAAGGGCAGTGGAAGCTGGGCAAGGAGGGGGCCAGCAACTGCTGGGCGAATAGAACCAAAAGCAAAATGAGAAAGAAAATTGGGGGTTTTGGGGGGGTGGTGTGAAAAAAGGAAAAGGGAAGGGAGCAATCGAGGGGGGTTGATTCTGTCCAGTCCTTTCCAGCTTCTCTTCTCCCGTCAGACGTAGCACAGGTAGAGATAGGTCTTCTCTATCCTCCAGTCGGCTGGGATCTCCTCCGGCTTGTGGCCCTTCATGTGCTTCTGCATGGCGGAAAGGCTGGGGCAGTATTCCAGGCAGATGGTGCACTGGTAAGGAGAGGCTCCGTTGTGGGTCCTGAGATGCTTGATCATGGCGGAGTAATCTCGGGACCGCTGGTGGCAGAGTTTGCACTCAAACGGCTTCTCGCCTGCGGAGTGGGAGAAGGAGGAAGGGGGAGAGGAGGAGGGGAGAGGAAGGAGAAAGGAAAGAGGAGGAGGAGAAAGCAGAGAAGAAGAATTAGGAGAAGGGGAAGCAGAAAGGAGACAGGAAAGAGGAGAAGAAGGAGAAGAAGGAGAAGAAGGAAAAGAGGAAGGAGAAAGGAGAGAGGAAAGAGGAGAAGGGGAAGGAAAAAGGAGAGAGGAAAGAGGAGAAGAAGTAGAAGAAGGAAAAGAGGAAGGAGAAAGGAGAGAGGAAAGAGGAGAAGAAGTAGAAGGAAAAGGGGAAGAAGAAAGGAGAGAGGAAAGAGGAGAAGAAGGAGAAGGGAAAGGAGAAAGGAGAGGGGAAAGAGAAGGAGAAGGAGAAGGAGAAGGGGAAGGAGAGAGGAAAGAGGAAAGAGAAGAAGAAGGAGAAGGAGAGGAGAAGTAAGAGAGGAAAGAGGAGAAGGAGAAGAAGGAGAAGGGGAAGGAGAAATAAGGGAGGAAAGAGAAAGAGGAGGAGGAGGAGAGGGAATCATGGGTGGGGGATGATTCAAGTTATTGCAACAGTGTGGAGGGGACCCTTTTCCTGGACCCCCCAGAAGTGGCAGGCAGAGTGAGAATGGCCACCTGCTCTCGGGCCTTACGTGGGCTAGTCTGGGGCCAATCCTTGCCTTCCCAGGCCAGAGCCAGCTGGGCTGGGGGGGGGGTCTCTCCCAGAAAGCCCCTCCAGATACCGTCGGCTGCAGCTGCGGTCGAAAGCCGGGGTGGGGGTGGGGGGGGCTTCCTTCAGTGCAGTAATTAACAGTCTTGCTTTTCCTCAGTATCAATACCCATTCCATGCCCAGGCAGAGCGAATAATGAAGTAATGAACAGAAAAAGCAATCTAAATATCGACCTGCTATTTACAAAAGCCGCAGGCATCCTGCGCCCAACGCCCTGATGCACAAGCAGCCCCGAGGGTCAGAGGGCGGGGTGGGGGGGAGAGAGAACTGCCTCCCGCAGGCTGGCTGGACGTCCCCTTACCCGTGTGGACCCTGTAGTGGGTCTCCAGCTGATGCTTCAGGCTGAACTTCTTCCCGCAGCCGTTGCATTCGTAGGGCTTCTCCCCGGTGTGGATGCGCTTGTGTCCTTTCAAAGTGCTCTCGTCTCGGAAGCAGCTCCCGCAGAATTCGCACTCGTACGGATGGTCGCCTGCAGCCAAGATGGGAGGGTCAGAGGGAAGCCAACTGCGGCCAAGAGGCCAGGTCCACGCCTGACCCCCAAGGGCCCAGGGGCGATGGGTAGCTCAGGGTTGAAAGGAGGGGTCCTCAGTGCTCTCTGAGCTTGCTATCAGCACTTCAACCTGCATTTACTCTAGTGCTGACATAAGAAGGAGAAGGGGGGCAGCTGGCAAGAGGACGCTTGACTTCTCACTTACTTATTTTCCCTGAAGATAATATCCCCTAGGAGATGAGATGGGAGGGGACATTCCTGGGAGCTGAAGTAGTAGTGCCCCATTTTGACTCCCAGGTGGGGGCAGGAAAGTTCCCGGCCCCATAAGGGGGGGGGGGGGGGGGCTCACGTGACCCTTCCCCTGCAAAGCCTCCTGCACCAACCTGGAAGCCAAAACGGAGCGTAGGTAGGGGCCGGGCACATGCACAGGGGGTGCTCGGATTGCATTTTGGGGGTTCTGGTACACATGCGTGCATTTGCATGTGCGTGCAAACACTTCGGGCGCTCAGCACCAAGAAGGTTAACCATCACTGAGATAGATCTTCTTTCTGGAGTAGCCAATCAACAGGTGATGGAATATGGAAAGTTTTTCCACCCAGAGGATGTCGGTTCTTTTGGTGTCTTCTGCTACTCTCCATCCATCCATCCATCCATCCATCCATCCATCCATCCATCCACCATCCATCCATGCAGCTGCCCAGGAGAAGTTCTCAGGGAATTGTTGTCCCCCTTCAGCTTCGTTCGGGTGACCGTTGCTGAGAAGATCCAGATTGTGGCCACCAATCGCTCCAAATCTCTGGATTCCTTCTTCAAGGAGGGGTTGTGGGTGGGGGGGGGGGGACGGAGAAGGAGGAAGTGAGCCGCTTCAGCTCCTTCTCCCTCTCTTTTAAAAAATATTTATTACAGAAGCTGAATGGAAGGACAATAAAGATAGATTGATCACCCCAGACTTTGTTCATGAATATTTAAATATTGCTGATTTGTCTTGTCAGTGTAATTACAATCTTCTCCAGGCTCGGCAAATCCGACGGCCACAAGTTTATGGTAAAGAATGGCCCCACTGTATTTCACTTGTCCCGCTGCAGATGTGCAAAGCCGCCAAGCGTGTAATGCTGCTCCCATTTCATACATTTGCCTCCGCTGCTGAAAGCTTAAGTCATCCACAATGACCTACGCTTTTTCATTATCCCCATGTCAAACCCAACTCGTGCCTGAGCATAAATTCTCCCGCTTGTTATAGACTTGCAGGCGGCCGCCTCCACTTCCTCGGGCCCAGGAAATTCGGCTCCCTTTCGGCCCCCCACCCCCAGATGCTTCACAACTACCCCCCCCCCAAAACACACAGGTCTTTAGGCACAAATTCTCCTAAATTAGGACCCTCCAGGCATCCATTGTTTCCTCCTCCTCCTCCTCCTCCTCCTCCTCCTCCTCCTCCTCCTCCTCTTCTTCTTCTTCTTCTTGTTCTTCTTCTCCTCCTCCTCCTCCTCCTCCTCTCTTCTTGCTCCTCCTGCTCCTGCTCCTCTTCTCCTTTTCTCCTCCTCCTCCGTCTTCCTCCTTCTCCTCCTCTTCTTCTTCCTCCTCTTCTCCTCCTCCTCTTCTCCTTTTCTCCTGCTCCTCCTTCCTCCTCCTTCTCCTCTTCTTCTTCCTCCTCTTCTCCTCCTCCTTCTCTTTTCTTCTCCTCCCCCTCCTCCTCTCCTTCTTCCTGCTCCTCCTGCTCTTCTTCTTCTGTTTCCTCCTCCTCCTCTTCTTCTCCTCTTCTCCTCCTCCTCCTTCCTCTCTTCTCCTCCTCCTCCTTCTCTTCTTTTCTTCTCCTCCTCCTCCTCTCCTTCTTCCTGCTCCTCCTGCTCCTCTTCTTCTCCTTTTCTCTTCGTCCTCCTCTTCTTCTTCCTCCTCCTCCTCCTTCCTCCTCCTCCTTCTCCTTCCTTCTCCTCCCACTCCTCGCTTCTGAAAAAGCTGATCGGTTTCCCCATTTTTGATACCAAACCTAGTTTGCAGAAGGGGAGAAGAAGTAGGTTCTGGAGCTGAGCAAGGAAAGGCAGTAGAATTTGTTGGGTTTGGAATGAAGGCAAAGTGTTGGTCCCCCCTTCCCTCGCCATGGCTACAGATTCTTCCTTTGAGCTCTCAGCCTCCGTTTTCCCCCTTGTACAATGGGAACGGCTTCAACTCCCTTCCCAGGTGCAGGCACACCTGATCCCACGTGGCTGCAAAGACTCTGGAATTCTGCTTCCGATCAGGAATGTCCAGAGGGTGAGGTCCGAAAAGTCAAGAGGGAGGCTGCAATTGTGGGATGGAAACTTCACCCAGGTTTTCCTATACGGGTGTCACACGGGGCATCCTCTTGGCTTTTTAAAACCGCTTTCTAAGGTCACTCCTGCCTCTGCTGCCTCCCTTCCCTTGTTTCAAGGCTTTTTTGTACCCCTAAACTTCTTATTCCTGGAGAGAAGAGGCAAAGAAAGACACACACACACACACACATAAGCACAGCCACACCTACACAAACTCTCCACGCAGCCGCAAGCCTCCTCCGTGCGTCTCTGTCGGGAGTGACAACAGATCTGTCAAATTAATTTTTCAAAGGAAGCCACCTCTGAGCATTGATGGGGCTCAGCTGCCACGGAAGCCCCTTCTTCCAACAGCTCGTCTTGGGTGGAGAAAAATCTTCTCAAAGGGCTCGGAAACATTTCTCATTCCTAGTTGGTGCATATTTAGAATCGGCTCAACCAGGGGCTAATATCTCGCAGAAGCCAGTTTTCAACGAAGCGGGCCAGTCCCGTGTTAACTGGTTTAAATCTGGCGGTCTAACCAGTAACGGCTGGCTTTAGACAAGCTTCTCAGAAGCAGGAACCTGGGGCTTTGTCTACTGTACACAAAACCCCCGATTGTTTTCTTTTTTTAAAAAAAAATCCAATTTCTGGCTCGTTGATTCACTTTGCAAGGCCGCTTAATGAGGTTGACATTAAGTCCAGGACAAGCGGGACTAATTACAGCCCCCTCTGGCTGGCTGGCTGCACCTGGGACCCCGTCTTCCCCTCCCCCCCCAATCTCCTGTTACCTGGTTAGCCAGGGAGGCAGCCAATCCCCAAAGCAGGAGCCCACTCCCTCGCCGGTACGGCAACCTGGTTTTATTATCCAACCAGCCACGTGAATCAGGGGTCTGCCAGTGCCAGGAGCCGGCCAGGCTTGGGCCCCAAACGCAGCTGCTGATGCAAAAGATGCCACTCCGGAAGCAAATGGGACTGGAGGAGACGGAGGATGAATCAGCACGCAGGAGGCTTTTTGCAGAAGGCAAAGGGGCTGCAGTCCAACAGGTGCAGTCAGCCCTAAGACTGCTTTCGGTAGTTAAGAGGACAGTGGTCCGGGACATCATACCCTTAACACATTCACTCTCTTTTTCTTCCTCTTTCCTCTTTCTTTCTTTCTTTCTTTCTTTCTTTCTTTCTTTCTTTCTTTCTTTTCTCTCTCTCTCTCTTTCTTTCTACATTCTCTGTTCAGCTGCTTAACCTTTTTCTAATCTTTATTCTTAGTAGGAATGAAGTTGACAACCTAAGTCAACTTCTACTTCTACATCTCTTCCTCTCTCTCTCTCTCTCTTCCTCTCTCTCTTTCACTTCCTCTCTCCCCCCTTTCTTTCTTTCTTTCTTTCTTTCTTTTTCTTTCTTTCCTTATTTATTTATTTATTTATTTATTTATTTATTTATTCATTCATTCATTCATTCATTCATTCATTCATTCATTCATTCAATTTATATGCCGCCCTTCTCCGGAGACTCAGGGTGGCTTACAATGCGTTAAGCAATAGCCTTCATACTTTTGTATATACCTGCTTAGTAGGGCTTCCCCCCCCCGAAGCGGTGTTCTTTTTTATACAAAGTCAGCTTATTGCCCCCACAAATCGGGTGCTCATTTTACCTACCTCGAAAGGATGGAAGGCTGAGTCAACCTTGAGCCTGGTGAGATTCGAACTTGCAGTAATTGCAGGCAGTTGGTGCTAGTTAACAGCACTTTAGTCTGCTGCGCCACCAAGGCTCTTCCTTCCTTCCTTCCTTCCTTCCTTCCTTCCTTCCTTCCTCCCTCCCTCCCTCCCTCTCTCTCTCACACACACACATAAATGTGATTTGTGCTAAAACTGGCTGGTGCATCTGTTACGATTAGGCTCAGATGAGCCATGCCCGCTGGTGCTGCAGCAGCTGTGGCATCTCTCTCGGACACGCACAATGCAGAGACACCATTCAAAATGGTCAAATCTGATCAGATCCTTGCCCAGGAAATGGGAGCTGAGGATGAACAAATAGATTCTACTCCTTGAAATCTCTTCTTCTTCTTCTTCTTCTTCTTCTTCTTCTTCTTCTTCTTCTTCCTTTTCTTTCTTCTTCTTCTTCTTCTTCTTCTTCTTCTTCTTCTTCTTCTTCTTCTTCTTCTTCTTCTTCTTCTTCTTCTTCTTCTTCTTCTTCTTCTTCTTCTTCTTTTAAAGCTCACAGCATCCTGCAATATTTTGGGACAGTGTCTTCCGAGGACAGACCGGCAAGGGAACTCCAATGAAGCACCCATCAACAGCAGATAAATTTTTAAGGCCTGGTGTGGCCTCTTTCTGTATTATTTGCAGCAGGAAGGGTGGACACCGATGGGTCAAATGAGCAGCCTGCCCCACTTCCAAGCAAGCACAGGCCTTTTCCTTTTGTGGGAAGTGACAGCTGCCAAACCAATGTTCCTCAACCTTGGCAACTTTAAGATAAGTGGACTGCAACTCCCAGAATTCCCTGGCCGTAAAGGTATATTAGAAGGAGAGCCCTGGGTGGGCCGATGCACCGTGTGCTCCTCATTCGATGGTTCACCCCCACCCTCTGCAACCCTGCAAATCCCCTGCCCGTCGCTGTCCTGGCATGTTTCCCAGGCAGCCCCCCCCCAGCTTACCTGTATGCGAGCGTAGGTGCCTTTTGAGGGCCGTGTGGCTGGGGAATGTGCGGTTGCACTCGCTGCAGATGTAGCTTCTCACGCCAGCGTGCACTTCCATGTGCTGCTGTAGGGCTGTCTGCGTTTGGAAGCGTTTCCCGCAGAGCAGGCAGAAGACAGCCATGTCTGAGCCTGGAGGAAGAGGGAAATGGATGGTCACCTCCAGAAGAAATGCCTGGCCAGGTGCACAGAAAGGCCTGCACCCCCAGACGGCCCCGTCCCAGGCTTCTACTCCCTGCGTCTGGGACACGGACAACTTCTTGTGAACGGTCAGGGAAAAAGAGACAGTGGCCAACACGTCCATCGGTCACGAAGTCCTACCTGGGTTGAAGAGCACAAAGCCAATCAGGAAGACTTTGCAAATTAGTTCACAGTTATTACCTGTCTATCATGATTTCTTTTAATTTTGATGATTTGGGGGAAAAGATAAGAATTATGCATGGGTCAGGCAGGTTTTCACAAATCTGTGCAGGGAGTTTCTGTCCTTCACGAACCTGTTCTCTCCATGGATAGTCTTTACCAGTGATGAAATCCCAATTTTTTTTACTACTGGTTCTATGGGCGTGGCTTGGTGGGTGTGGCAGGGGAAGGATACTGCAAAATCTACATTCCCTCCCCACTCCAGGAGGAAGGATACTGCAAAATCCCCATTCCCTCCCCACTCCAGGAGGAAGGATATTGCAAAATCTCCATTCCCACCCGACTCCAGGGGAAGGATACTGTAAAATCTCCAATTCCTCCCCACTCCTGGGGGAAGGATATTGCAAAATCCCCATTCCCACCCCACTCCTGGAGGAAGGATACTGCAAAATCTCCATTCCCTCCCCACTCCTGGGGGAAGGATATTGCATAATCTCCATTCCCACCCCACTCTGGGGCCAGCCAGAGGTGGTATTTGCTGGTTCTCTGACTACTCAAAATTTCCGCTACCAGTTCTCCAGAACCTGTCAGAACCTGCTGGATTTCACCCCTGGTCTTTACCCAACATGTAGAGACCATGGCCTGTTTCCCTCTTGGGAGAAATGAAATTATACAAACTTGACTCATTCAGCATTCGGAGTTTTCATCTCTTTAGTTGTCTGTCTCTGTGGCCATCCGTCCATCCATTCGTCCGTCCATCCATCCATCCATCCATCCATCCATCCATCCATCCATTCCCACCACCTCCTGTCTATCTGCCTACCTACCTGTTTTACAGCAGGGAACCCAAGCAAGTTTTCACGGTTACAACTTCCTTGCAAGAAAACTAGAGCAGCGAAGGTTGTGACTTTTAATATATTGAATTCTATCAAAGGCAACAATCAAAGGAACTTATTAACTAAACATTCCCCCCTCTCTCTAATGAAACCTGATTATTATACTAGTTAGGGAGCAAATTACAATAGAATAATATAAAATGAAATAGTAGGTAAATTAAAGAGAGACGGAAAATAAGAAGTGCGAGCATATTCCTAGGGTAGATGATGTGTAATTTCGCCATCTGCAATTGCGAAGAGATGGTTTCTCTAATGGGCTTCCCACATATCCACAGGCAAGCCAGGGGTTATTTTGAAAATGTAAAATTAAAAAAATAACAATAACAATAACCACTGCTGGAAAAAAACTTCTGCACTTAACTCCAAAAGAATCAGGACTTTCTTCTCACGGCTCTGAAAACCCAAATATTCTGAAAATTATCTTCCTGGGGTGGATGGGCAGGAGGACCCATCTTGGTCTCCAGAGTTTGGGGCAATCCAGGACATTTATGGGGGTCTTCCTGAGAGACAGGGGCAACTTCAGAAGATGCTCCTGCTTCTCTTTGAAGCAGGAAATAAACACCAGCTCAGTTGGGAACATTTTCACGGCTGGGAAAGACACGGTGCCATTCAGAAGGAAGCCCATTTCTTCATTCTCACTGCCAGCTCAGCACCACCTCCAACAGCCCCCACCCCAATTGTCCAAGGGTGCCTGGAGGTGTTCATCCACTAAAGCAGGGGTCACCAACCTTTCGGACTTCAGGGACCATTAAATTCATAATTTTAAATCCCGCGGATTTATGATCCGCCTAATGACCAGCTGGGTGGGCGTGGCTAGGTGTTCATGTGACTGGGTGGGTGTGGCCAACTTTATGTCACTCATGTTGAGGGGCGCCTCACTACCCTATACTTGCCCCTCCCCTCCCAGCCACTCCTCCCCTGCCCGCCCGGGCTCTTTAGGGCCCCAACAGGAAGCAGTTGTTGGAGCTAAGCAGCCACCACGAGAAAGAATTGGCAAAACAGCTGGCCCAGTTCAAATTGGATCTGAGCGAGAAGGAGGCTCAGCAGAACCACCTCACTGAGGACTAGGAGCATAGGCTTTCCGAGCAGAGGGAAGAACTGTGGGAGTGCAAGGCCAGATACCGGCGCCTGGAGGCTCAGCGGGCTGAGATGGTCAGCCAGTTCCAAGCCATGATGCAGTCCCACTGGAACGAGGCCCTCCGGCTCTTTGCCACCAGTGGCTCTTCCCTCCAGCCTTCGCCCAAAGCCCCACACCAGGAGGCTGAAGCAGACCCCACATCGGAATTTCTGCCTCCTCCTCTGACCCACACAAAAAGGCCCCGAAGGGGGAGACTCTCTGCAGCAACATAAATGTTCATTGCATGTATCGGGCCCAGGGGCCGTAGTTTGAGGACCCCTGATTTAGTGCAATATAAAAAATGCAAATAATTTCTCTGTGGACCACCAAAGTTTTCTCACGGACCACCAGTTGGTGACCGCTGCCCTAAAAGGAGGAGGGTCAACGTTTTGACTTCAGTCTCCTGCTTGTGGACCCCTGGAGAATCCCCAGGGAAGGGTCTACAGCCACTTGACCCAAGACTCTTCTCCGGCCTGTGTCCGCAGAGGTGACCAAGTTCTCCCTCTCGCATTTCAATGTTTACACATGGCGAATAAGACTCATGTCTTCCACTTGATGCATCGTTGATCATCTTGAAACGTTATCAAACAGTAAAAAAAATCAGATCACCCCGGCAAGAATAAAGCAGCTTTCTGAAAGGCCCTTTCGGAGAAAGATGGAAAATAAAATGATCTGGAAAATTATACGAGCAATTCATTAGCAGCAGCACAACATTGCAAGGAATGTTGTGCGCTGCCTTGAAAGAATGAAAAGGGTGGGGGGGGAAGGGAAGAGAAAATGAGAGGCAATTGTGACTTCATTTGCATGCCAGAAATGAACTGTCCATGATTATGTTTGCAAGGAAACCGGGGATGGGAAAGCGATGCCAATTGCCTTCATCACAAAGGCTAAATTTGGTTGCATGTAGAACGCGGGTCACTCCAGGAAGGAGCCCAAAGGCAGAGCTGCTACTGAGTAACATCCTTTCGGTCCGGAAAAGATCTCCCCCCCCATCCCAAAAAAAAAAATTGGCAACACATTTCAAATCCAATTCCCAGGGCATCCATCCAGTCAAAGAAAACCACGCGGGGTGGGGAGTGGAGAGGAACCACGATCAGGGGTGAAATCTAAATTTTTTCCCTACTGGTTCTGTGGGCGTGACTTGGTGGGCATGGCGGGGGAAGGGTATTGCAAAATCCCCATTCCCACCCCATTCCTGGAGGAAGGATACTGCAAAATCCCCATTCCCTCCCCACTCCTGGGGGAAGGATATTGCAAAATCCCCATTCCCACCCCACTCAGGGGCCAGCCGGAGGTGGCATTTGCTGGTTCTCCGAATTACTCAAAATTTCCATGACCGGTTCTCCAGAACCTGTGAGATTTCACCCCTGGCCACGATCCCTTCAAATGTTTCTTCCTCATCAACCACCTTTCAGCGTTTCTACGCGTCCATTTTCCACTTGTGAGGTGGAATTTGGTTTTTGAGAGGGGACACCATGGTGGGCAATGCGAGGAGAGGTAGAAGCTAAGGAAAGGGGTTCTTTGCCTCCTTCTTATCGGTGAGGTCCAGGAGGGAGGGAGGGAGGGAGGGAGGGAGGGCTGGGTTGGGTTGGGGACCACAGCAGCGCCAGCTTCATTCGCAGCCAAGGAGGGCATCATCTCAGGGTGGCTTGTGAAGGCAACCCGAAGACACCTGTCAATGGTCAGCTGTGGGGTTTTTATTTCTCAGGTGTGGCACAGGCAGGGAAGGTTACAAGCACCTTCGGTCCATTACGGCATTATCATATCCAATAAAGGGGATTGAACTCAGAATAACAGAGTTAAGAGGGACTTTGGAGGTCTTTTAGTCCAAAGTTCTAGTTCTTCTAGTTCCTTGGGCAGGAAACCCTCTACCATTTCCAATCTCTTCTTAAAAACCTCCAGTAATGGAGCACCCACAACTTCTGGTGGCAAACCGTTCCACTGGTTAATTGTCCTCACTGTCAGGAAATTCCTCCTTAGTTCTAAGTTGCTTCTCTCCTTGATTAGTTTCCACCCGTTGCTTCTTGTCCTGCCCTCAGGTGCTTTGGAGAATAGGTTGACTCTCTCTTCTTTGGGGCAGTCCTTCAAATATTGGAACTCTGCTATCATGTCTCCCCTAGTCCTTCTTTTCATCAGACTAGACATTCCCAATTCTTGTAACCTTCTTCACATATTTTAGCCTCCAGTCCCCTAATCATCTCTGATGTTCTTCTCTGCACTTTATTTATTTAATTTATATCCTGCCTTTATTATTTTTAGAAACAACACAAGGCAGTGAACACTGCTGGTACTCCTTCCTCCTCTTCCTCCTCCTCACCTGTGAGGTGAGTTGGATGAAGAGAGAGATTGACTGGCCCAAAGTCACCTAGCTGGCTTTCATGCCTGAGGCGGGACTAGAACTCACAGACTCCTGGTTTCTAGCCCGGTGCCTTTAAAAAAAAAGGTACAAAAGACTTTATGATGCGCTTGGTGCGTCAAAAGTCCCAACTGGGCTTCTAAGACAGGCCAACTTGGGAAGCTGAATGACACCACCACCCTCAAAAGCCACGGGTGTTCAGAAATCAGGGATCTGGGAGGGAATGGGGGGGGCTGCTCCTTCTCTTCTGGGTCTTTGCACAGAGTTGCTTATGAAGCCACACATGGATGCCGTCGGCAGAACCTTTGGCAGGAACAGCTCAGGGATAAATACTTCCTGATGCCCATAAAAGCCCAGCTCCTTCCTCTCGCTCTGACCCAGCCACGCGCCTCGGGAGTCAGTC